GCAGCAGGGGAAGTTATTGCAGCGCACTGACAAATGCGGTGACCTGAAACCAGAGCTGGTGATGGGAAGGGTTTCAGAAGGAAAAACGCCGCCTGGTGTGAGGCGCAGCTCTGTGCTGCGTAGCTGTGCTGCTGCAGCGGCGTCTGCTCAGCCCTGTCCCTGTGCTCTCCAGGTGCCGTTTCTACCGGCGTGGAGTTGGCAGAGGGGCCGTGGTGATGTTCACCGCATTGGAGGTGGCCTGCGCTGCGCTCTGCTGGAGTCGGGGCCTTTTCCTGCCCTGTGCTCCGTACCCAGGGCTGCTCTGCCCTCAGCGCTGCGGGTGGCGCTGTGCTGCTCGGGGCTGTGGCTGCTGCTGCCCTCCCGATAAACAAGGCTTTTAGCAGCAGTGTGTGGTTGGGACGTAGCCTTAGAATTAGGAGCTGTTGCCTGTACTGTGCTAGAAAGTAGCATAGGAGTTAGAAAATGTTGCCTAAACGTTGCTGGAAAGTAACATTGCAGTTGCAAATGTTGCCTGAGCTGTTGTGTCCAAGGCAGTGACAGCTGGAAAACATTAGCAGTGAAAACCTGGGCTTGTACGAGGGCTTAACCTGGCGCTGCTGAACCCCATCTGGTTCCAAGCACAAAGTCTGTCAGTGTTTGAGTGTGTTTCGTTTTAGCTGAGATACGTATCTGCTCTGGGGATGTAGGGAAATGTCTTCTGGACTGATTTTTCAGGGCTGTAGATACCAACAGCTGTCCTGGCCTGCAGGAGGCATCCACTGAGTGAGGGGACCGGACAGAAGGGCACTGTGCCGGTGGATGCTTTGCTCACCGAAGTGCTGCTGATTTCATTTTGGAGGCCCATGCAGCACGGTTTCTGTGCAAAGCTTTCCCTGGTGCACAGAACTCTGCGTGTCCTCGCAGTTCCGCCTTCGACCCAGCAGATCTGAGGTTACAGCACGGTTACAGTGGGTGCTGGGGCAGAGCGCTTCCCAGTGCTGGTTATTAACAGCAGCATCAGAACCACGTCCTCCTGGGTGCAGCTGTGGGGCAGCCTGGGCTAAAAGCGTGAGGAAGGCTCTGTGCACCCCTCAGCATTGCCTGTGGCCAGTGGTGCTGTCAGCCCGTGCAGCTGGGGGCTCTGCCTGAACCCAGTGGGTGCAGTGAGTGCACGGGGGGCTGCAGGCTGCTCTGCCACCCACACTTGGGCTCTCACTCCCATTTTTTGCTTTTTTTTCTTACCATAATTCCATGGGGAAGAAAACAGGCAGGAAAGCTTCCCATCCCCATCTTTTCAATTGCAAAATGGGAATGATGTTTAAGCAATAATTCAAATCCAGCCAAGCAGAAAATAACAGGTGTGTCTGAAGGAGCTCAGGATCTGTTTGTTAGCTTGAAATGAACCCCCAAAAGGGTGAAATTCCGAACAGGTGTTATCAGTGCTCAGCGATGCAGCCTGCACTGCTGCACTTAGCCTGGCTCTGAACCAGGCTGGCCTTTCTGCTTTGCTTTTCAGTGCTTCTATTAATGTTAGTAACAGATGGTTAAAACCTTCCCGACAGATTCTGCTGCCCACACGTGCAGGCTGATGCAGAAGGGCTCCATGCAGAGGACAAAGTGCTTTGCTGAGGAGCATTCCCACGCAGTGCCTCAGCCCCCATTGCACTCCTGGTCCCATTCATTCACCTCTGGTCCCTGGGGTTTGTCTTTGCAGTTCCATCTCCATCTGCAGGGAAATGGGCTTCCGAGGCTGTTCACAGCCACCAAAAGTTGTAAATGAATTACAACAAACTTTGGAATGCGTTCATGTGTCATTACAAATTGCTGAATGCTGGAGAGATGGGGTAATGTGGGGAAGAGAAGCGCGTGTTGCATGTTAATGGCAGCAGCATGGAGTTCATCACTCACCTGCCTGCTGCCATCTGGATTCTCCCAGCTTGGCAGACGTGGGGCTCTGTGCACATCACCAGGCTGAATGGATGCAGGAAGTGAGTGAGCACCCAAAGCTTTCACTCACTCCAGTGAGCTTATGAAGGTCCCAGTGACTGCGGTTACTCTGGAGCTGCAGCTGACAGCTGAGGGCTGTGGTTACAGCTGGGGCTGGTGCACAGAGGGGATCCACCATCTCAGGAGCAGCGCAAGTGGGGCAAAGCCATCACTGCTCACTGGTTCCATTTAGGAAAGCACAGACATTGAAAGGAATTCAGGGCATAAAGCCAGGAGGAATTTTGCTTCCTGCTAGGCAGAAATAGTGACTGTGTGTTATTAATGGTGATGGCAGGGTCTGCTCTGTGCTGAGCCGTGTGCTCTGGACGAGGCTGTGGCCAATCTGCTGTAGTGGCCTCCTATGGGTGTTCCAGGGGGATGCAAATGACAGAGACTGCATCCACCCTTCCCTGTCCCCTGCTCTGTTTGCTGCGCTGTGCTCGAGGCAGCTGGTGACACCAGTCAGGCAGTAATTGTCACGGAATTAACCTCTGACATTCTTTTAAAAATAGCCCCAATAAATCCAATCATTAGCAGCTCTCCTGCTTTGCCTCAAGGGTAAGCGCGCAGATTAAAGTCTTTACGTGCTGCAGATCCATGAGTGCTTCCCCGCCTGTCCCCTGCCATGGTGGGAGCATCCCTGCGCCCCGAGGCTGTGGGACACGGAGCAGCGCTCCAAAATGCTGCAACTGTCATTATGTACAAAAGAAAAGCTGAGATGCACGGAAATGTCACAGGGGAGAGAAGGCGCTGACAGCGTGCGCTGCCTGAGCTGCGTGGGAATGGTGCATTTAGATGCCTGTGAAAGCCACTCTGCGGTTACTTAAATTGTCTTTGTCTTCTTCCTTTCAGCTGACATTATCTCTACAGTAGAATTCAACCACACCGGAGAATTGCTGGCAACAGGGGACAAGGGGGGTCGGGTTGTCATATTTCAGCGTGAGCAGGAGGTAAGTACAAAATACCATTTTATCCTTGTAAAGCAGTGTCCTGTTGTTTCCTAATCTGTGCCTGTCACTCTTAACCTAGTTCTCTCCTAGCAGACCGAGAATTGGAAAAAGGCAATTAGCAGCAAGACCTGGAGTAACATGGTAGAATGCCCTAAAATGCTGCGTTGCATTCCCACACACCTCCAGCCATGCTGTAGCTCCCCATAGCCCGGCACGGGCACAGCTGGCTGCCATCCACCCCTGGCCATGCTGTCCCACCCTCAGAAGCCCCCCAGGCCTGGGGCACTGTGCCCTCAGCTCGGAGCTGCAGAACTCCTCGGGGGGTTCCTGAGAGGGCTGCACTGCATGAGGCCACCAGCAATGCTATGGGGCATCAATGGGTTACGTTTCTCCCGACGTTAAATCTGCCCAGTATTTTGTGTGTGCTGGGGGAAACTGATCAGTATGAGGTTACACATAGGTGCTTTGTTGGCCTTTCTGTTACTGTTCCATTTCATATTTCTCTCTTTTTTGTTATTCTCCCACTTTTCTTGAACTTCCACCTCCCTGACACCACCTGCGATGCGTTCTGTCCGCCTCCTGTTTGTCACAGCCCTCTGCTCCAAGGGACCAACATCAGAGTGTGCAGGAAGCGACCTGCAGCACAGATCCACAGAACTGAGCCCATGCTGCACAGCTCTGTGTGATTTGGAGAAATGCAGCCCCTGGCAGACAGGCACTGTGCCTCTCTGGGCAGATGGTTCTCAGACGTTGTCACCTTTCAAAGCAGCATGATTCCCATCCTGATGGGCTCTCTTTGTGGTGCTGTTCCCAACGCAGTCTGTGCCTCAGGGCTCTGTGCCGGGGCCGACCTGTCCCCTGGGGGCTGTGGGCTCAGTGCAGAGCTCAGCTCCCAGCCCCAGGGCAGCGCTGGGTCAGGTGTGCAGAGAACCTGGGGGCAAAGAAGTCGCTGGGAAATGTTCTCTCCAAGTCTTACATCCTCTCTGTCCTCCTCCTCAGAGCAAGAACCAGCCCCATCGCAGGGGTGAGTACAATGTGTACAGCACTTTCCAGAGCCACGAGCCGGAGTTCGATTACCTGAAGAGTTTGGAGATCGAGGAGAAGATCAATAAGATCCGATGGCTCCCGCAGCAGAACGCCGCCTATTTCCTGCTGTCCACCAACGGTGCGTGTGGTGCAGGCAGGGGGGGCTCCTCTGTGCGCTTTGTTCTGCTGATGGCTCTTGTTGGGCATTTTCTGAGCTCTCTGGGTGAAGTTTTTGTTGTTGTTTTGGCTTTTTTAAGCCGTGGCTGCTGCGTTTCTACACGCAGCTGTGCTCAGCTCAGCAGTTCCGTGATATATTCAGATAAATAGCAGGAGGATCCAGGAATATTACTTGGGATGAATGGAGCCCTAGGATGGATGTGACTTAATTACTTCAGGGGACTAGGAGGATTCTAATTATCTCCCGTAACCAACTAACTTTGTGTTACAGAATTGACTCTATTGATCACTGTAATAAAATTCGAAGATTTACTAAACTCATCTGGGGGAGAATTACTGAAATGCAATGAAGATTAATTATAGAGCACGGCGATCTGTTAATTGAGTTTTTAAACAGTTTTTTGATTAACAGGGATATTATCTCTGTGTTTAGGACGGTGTTTCGTATTGTAGTGAGTTATAAAGCGATGCTTTGTAACACATTCCCACGTTGCCCTCTTTCTTTCCATTCTCACTCTCGAAGTAACGTGGCACAGAGATCGACCCTGAAGGAGAGGGGGCTCATAGCAGCAGCCAGGCGTGACTCTGTTCTCTCGCAGATAAAACTGTGAAGCTATGGAAGGTCAGTGAGCGCGACAAGAGGCCGGAGGGCTACAACCTGAAGGATGAGGATGGCCGCCTCCGAGACCCCTCCATGATCACCTCGCTGCGGGTGAGCGGCTGGCGCGGTGCATTTCTTTGGGGGTGGGATGCAGACAGCAGTGCTGGCAGGGCTGTGTGTCCAGGGACGGTGCTGACGGCTGCTGGGGGCATGGGGAGTGCTGCACGGCTGGGGGTGCAGGCACACCATGAGCACAGCCGTGCCCAGAGCTGCTGTCCTGCTGGGATGGAGCTGCAGAGCTGCCTCCTTTGCACTATTTACAGCACAGTAAATAATGTAAATGGCAGCTTCTGCAGCAGCAGTTCCTTCTCTGTGAGTTTTCTGGCCACCTAGGTGGATCACAACAGGCCTCCCGAGTCAGGTGTAAACAGCCTAGGCTATGTGTGCCGTTTATTGCAAGAGAGATGCATGCATGGACCCTTTAAAGCAGTCACCCTGTGCCTGGCAGTGCTGGCAGAAGGTGCAGCTGAACCCACTCCTCCTATGAGGGTCCCCGGGGCTGTTTCTGAACTTTATTTGTGCACAGAGACCTGGCCTGGGCAGTGTGAGGTCCTGAGGGGGGGCTGCACCATGAGGCCACACTCCTCTGCCTGAATTCAGAGCAGAGACTGAAGGTTTCCCTTCACCTGCAGGCCTGGGAACTCCAGCTACACAGTAATGTCATGGTGGCATTAATCAGCCAGAGCAGCTTGTGATTTATTAACCTCCTATCAGGGTTTGCATTCTAAGTACTCAAGTTCAGTATTTATGAATACAACACTGTTGATATGTCTGCCCTTGGCTCACTTTGTAGCTTCAGACTTCATTGCCAATTGAGCCTCCCAGAACCTCAGACCCAGTTCTCACCTCTGCTCCAGGTGCTCCTGGGGCCAGCAGGTGTTTCCTTCGCTGAGTCAGAGACATTTCATTTCATATGTATCTGCATCTGCTGCCACGTTTCAGGCAGAGTTTGAGCCCAGTGCAGCCCACAGGAGGGGCCTTCCTGGGGTCTGGGTGTTGGTGCTGTAGGAGCTGTGCTTACTGACTGTGTGTGGGATACAGGTGAGTTTTTAAAGGATGGTGTCGTTAAGGGGTATCACTGCAGTTGAGTAACTTGAGCTCAGGGTAGAAGAGATGCCTGTCTCAGTTTCCAACACAAACTGCTTTTCAAAGTGCTGCTGGTGTTGGTACATCTGCCGGGTTTCCTTCCCAGCCCGTGCTGCTGTCTGCACAGTTGGCTGCTGGCGCTGGCTGGCGGAGGTTGGCTGCATCCTGGCGTTGGCAGCTGCTGGGCTGCAGCGGGGTCAGAACAACTTGGGCATTTGTTGCAGACATTCAGTCCAAAGTCACAGCTTGGATCTCAGCGTGGTGCTTGTTGGCTGCACAAGTTTGCCTTTTTGGTGTTTTTTAATGCTCCCTACAGTTTCCTGACAACTATAGCAAGCAGCCCCATGGGAACATGTGATTCCTGCTCCATATCAGCAGGTAGAGGTAAAGCTCAATGTGAGTGCTCGGTGTTATGGGTATTGCTATCCTTGTGCACAACACCTTCTGTCCCTAAGGATGCAAAAGAGAGCAGCCTTCAGTCTGCTCCAGTTCACACTGATGGGTTTCCTCAGGCAGATATTTACATAGCTCTCGATTTTACTGCTGCTTGGTGTATCCTGAGCACTTAATGCTCCTCTGCTGCTCACGTTTTGTTCATCCATCCATGGTTCCATGTTCAACTGCAGACAAGAAAAAAGATTTAAAACCACCTTGCTGCAGTCATCTCTTCCTATTCATTTAATGGTTTGGATTTACTCGATGAGCATTGTTACCTGAGGAATTTCTAACCCACGTAATGCAGGACTATTTCCCTCTGTTCAGACCACGAGGGCCTTTGCTTTCTTTGGGTGAGCTCTGCACATCAGGGTGGGTCCCAGCCCGCAGCCTCTGCACCACCTCACGGGGCTCCCTGAGAGCCTCTGCACCACTGTGCGCCAGGGGCTGTTTGCAGGAATCGTTAACACAGATAACAGCCAGGGCTGAAAACTCTTTGAATAAGGACTGCGTTGTCTTAGATCCCTGCACGGCACAAGGGGGGTGAGAGGAGCTCGGTGATTGCTGTTGTCACAGTGCTGTTGGTGATTAAGAGCTGCTGTTTCACTCAGTTCCGACAGCATCCATCATAAATAGTTTCATATCTCCCATTTTGCCAAAACATTCATATTTTTTGGCTTCTGGGTGCAGCTTCATGGAGAGTTTGTTCTTTTCTTCTCCTGTATCAAATGTATCCGTGCTCACACACACCCGTGGCCTCGGGAGGGCCGTTTGTTTTCTGAATTCTTACTGCAGAATTCAGGTGCAGATGATGTGAGTCATTCTGAAATGTAAAAGCAGGGACAGATTCTCAGTTACAAACTGAAAAAGGATTCTGTCCTGCTACAAAAACAAGGAAAGCCAGGGGGGTGGCTGGGCTGGGGACGGTGCTGGCAGTCACTGCCCCGACCCCTCCAAGGTGCTCTGACTGCGCTGCAGGGCTGGGTTTGCCCTCACTGCTGCAGGTGCTGCTCCTGAGCCCCTCTTCCCCCGGCCAGGCCCCGTGGGGCGCTTTGGGCCCCCATAGGAAAGGCTCTCCCACACCTGGAGCTCTGCTGGTGCTGCACACCGTGTGGCTGGGAGCAGGGCTGTGCTGGGGAAATGACTGAACCAGGAGCTCCATCAGCGCACGGCGAGGGGCCAGACAGCAGGTTTGTCTCTACGGGAAGGGATCTTCTCAGATGGCATCAGGAAAGCCCGGTAAGGCCAAGTCCTGAGGAACGTGAAGCTGTTGCTCTGCCATGAGCGTGGTGAGGAGCGGCGGGGTGGGACGTGTTGGGTGGTGGGAGCGCGCTTTTTGCAGGAGGTGCCTGGTAAAAAGCAAAAAGAAAAATGAAGACGTAATTTTTTTAAAGTGAGTAATGAATGGCATTGCCCTCTTCCACAGAACAGGAAGTAATGTAATTTATTAGTGCTTTATTTTATTTGACAGCCATTCTATGTACTTGATGCGGTTTGTTACACCAAATTACCCTTTAATAATGGGTGTATGTAATACCAGGCACTACCCTGCAGGTCCGCTCAGTAACTGAAGGGCTGCACCCAGGAGTTCTCACTGCTGGTGAAGGAGGCGGCGGAGTGCAGCCCTGCAGCTGCACTGCTCCCTGCTGCTGCGGCCGGTGTCAGTAGCACTGAGACCAGGCTGGGACCACGCAGGTGTTGGATCTGCAGGTCACCCCACGCCCTGTTTGCTGTGATACTCAGGCTGGGCGCAGCCATGGGTCTGACTGGGACACAGTCAGGCTGCACAGCAGTGCTGAGCTCCAGAGCCTGTGATGATTTATTTTTGCGTCCAGAGTGGCCCAGTGTAACGTTTGAGCCCACACCCTTTGCAAAACCATCATGTTTCTGACGGTCTGAGTGACAGCCCACGTCCTGCAATCTCTGAGCACAATGCGAGCCTCTGTCCCCAGATGGCTGAGCAGAGTCCTTCAGCAGCAAACGATGCATCATTGAGTGTGTCAGGCTGAATTAGGAAGCAGGCGCATCACATTAAGCTCAGGCTCCAGGCTGGCAGTTCCTGTGTTCCTGTGTCACTTGATCTGGCTGTCATGCTCCCATCCCCACCTCTGCAGCCATGGGAAACCTCTTCGGGCAGCACACAGAAAACATTTGCTTTGATGGAGTGGCTGGAGGGCGCAGCTCCTGGCGGGGGGAGCACTGGTGCACGCAGCTGCCTTAAGAGCACAATGTCTGAAGTTATTAAGTACACCTCTCCTTGCATATGCTGCTTTCATGCCTCCCTCCATCCCCTCATGTTTACGTGAGCTATGCTTACAAATCCAAAGGCAAACATTCCTATTTCCTCCATCTGTCCCTGCCCCGTGCTTCCCTTCTATCTCTTCCCCTCCTTTACTTCCACCATTCACTGTGGGGCAAATCCTGAAAATCTGAAAGAAAATCCGGAGTTGATTCAGCTCTTAATACTTACCTTCTAAATACACTTCTGTTAGCAGCGGGGCAGGAATTTCACATTCCGAAGTGACAAAATAGGAGAGGTTTTGCTGTTGTTTGACCGAAGAAGGAACTGTTGCTGCAGAAGAGCTCCGGACTGGCACTGTTGTCTCCCAAAGCAGACGATGCTGCGGTGCTGCCCCACGTGGCTCCCAGCATCCCGTGCCCACTGCTGACTGCCCGTCCCCTGCAGGTGCCGGTGCTGCGGCCCATGGACCTGATGGTGGAGGCCACCCCCCGCAGGGTGTTTGCCAACGCTCACACGTACCACATCAACTCCATATCCGTCAACAGCGACTACGAGACCTACATGTCGGCTGACGACCTGCGGATAAACCTCTGGAACTTTGAGATCACAAATCAGAGCTTCAGTATCCTTTGGTGCGCGCACCCCGTGGTGTCCCTGGGCCCCTCTGCTGCCAGGAGCTGTATTAACAGAGAGCCACGGGGCCGGGCGCACAGGGAAGCATTCAGTCCTTTCTGACCCAGAAAAGGGAGAACCAAGGTAAAGGTTTGACCCATTGTGATTTTCTTTGGCAGTGTTCCTAACTGGTCCTGCTCATTACAGGTTCATTACTGCCAGTTACCCCAGATCCTGCCAGGAGGTCGGTGCAGGAGAGATGGGGTTGCAGGCACAGAGCACAGCAAAGCAGGGCTCAGTGCTCCGCAGTACCCACAGCCCCCTCAGTCACAGCTTCGGACGTCCTCATCCCCAGAGCAGTCACTGCTGCTTGTGCTTGTCTGCGTGGGCTGAGCCGTGGCAGTGTGCTGGCGGTGCTGGGCGCTGTGCCCCTCTGCTCTGTGGGACCCCCACTGCCACCACTTTGAGTTCTGCCTGCAGGGCTGAGCCGGGGCTGAGGGACGGGGGTGATGTAGAAGACAGATGCCCTGGGGGAGACGGGGAGGGGAAATCTTAATAGCGCAGCAGGGTGACGGGCTGCCAGTCACAGGCGCATAAATGAGATCATGCCTGTCACCCTCCTAACTGCTGCATCAGAAATAATCACGGCGGGGCACTAAGCGCCACTGGTATTTATGTCGTGTTCTCTACTGAGAAGCCCCAGGGGCAGCGTTAGGCAGCCGGAGTTCAGCAGCCACAGGCGTGTGGTCGGTGGGGGCCCACATCTGAGCAACGCTGCCATGTCTGCTTATTTCGGTGAACGAGGGGAGGATTTAGGCAAAGCTTGAGGGGTTTGATGGCCCGAGGCACCAATTCCATGTGGGGAGCAGCGGGCTCCTTCACTCACCCCCAGATATCGTGGACATCAAGCCAGCCAACATGGAGGAGCTGACGGAAGTGATCACCGCCGCGGAGTTCCACCCCCACCACTGCAACACCTTCGTGTACAGCAGCAGCAAAGGCACCATCCGGCTGTGCGACATGCGCACCTCCGCCCTCTGCGACCGCCACGCCAAGTGTGAGTGCTGTGCAAGCTGCCATTGTGTGCTGCAGCACAGGAGGTGCAGAGGGAAGCTTGCTCAGACATCTGGAGACTTGAAAGTGTCAGCCGCCCCAGGGAGGTTGTGGAGTCTCCTCTGGAGATGCTCAAGGCCTGCCTGGATGCCTGGGGAGCCTGCTTTGGCAGGGGGTTGGACGCGATGGTCTCTGGAGGTCCCTTCCAAGCCCTACAATTCTGTGAATCTGTGAATCCCAAACCCTAGCAGAACGCATCTCTCTGTTCTTGCACTTCATGACTGTCTCACAGTCCTACAGTGACTTGGAGTGCAATGATAGCTAAGGCAATCCCTTTCCCTGATGCTCTGGAGGCAGCAGTCCCTACATGGCCACTGCCTTTGTTTGGTGCTGCCACATCCTTCAGCCCACAGTGAGCGCCGACCAGCGGTGAATAAGAGTTTGGTTTGACCTCTCCGTTGAAATTTTCTTACTGATTTCCCTCTGCACCTCTGAAGCAGCAGCCTGAGTCGATTGCAGCTCAGCAGATGTGTAAGTTGAAACTGAGGCAGTTCATCGGAGTTCAGAATGAAAAGCAACATTGGCTTTGGAGGCAAATTCTCCAGCAGGGGTATTTAATAGCTGTCAGTAGTATTAAGTGGGGAGGTTGGTGGCCCTGAGGCAGGGGGGTTGAAGATTCATGATCCTTGAGGTCCCTTCCAACCTGGGCCATTCTGTGATAGCACTGCACATCCCTGTTGTGTTCAATCAGACAGACACACTTTGCAGCTTAGGGGCAGACTTACTGAAATGATCTCCTATTCAATTCTGCCATCCTGTTTGACCTGAGGCTGCTGGCAGTGGCTCGAAGCAGTGATTGGGCACCTGGTGGGAAGGCAGGGCTGACCCAGAGGAGCTCAGCTGTATGCAATGTACCTGATGGAAGGGCTGGAGCCAGGATCCACCCCCTTCCCGGCCCTCATTTAAGGGCTGGCAGTGAGGGGGTCTCACTGGAGATCTCTGCATATCTGAGGCCTTCCAAAGGTAAGCAGCCTTTTCCTTTAGTTTTGATGCTCACAGCTGTTCTGTTCGAGCAAATCCTCACTTGCTGCAGCTCAGGACTTTGCCACCCCCTGGTTATTGCTGCACTTTCCATTGCGTTGTAGCCTTACAGGACTGAGCCCTGGGTACAGGCACACCTTGCTGCACGACTGCTGTCACCTTCCTGTTGACAGAATATCTCTTGTTTTTTTGTTTTGTTTTCCTTTTCACCAAAGCCTTTTATACTAGAAAAAGGGCACATAAATGGGGTGCAAGGATCTGCTCTCACATTAGGAACTCCCAGACACATGAAGCACATCCTGCCCGGGGCTGAGGATCCGTGGTGCAGAGCTCTTGTTGCCTGCTGTCAGTTGGGGCAGCACACAGCCGGTACAGAGCTGAGATGTGGCAGTGCCTCCAGAAACAAATCACCTCCTTCCTCAGCCCCGAGCAGCGGCTAACGACGTCCTGCTGCACGCAGTAATAAGCCTGGCAAGACCTCGAGCTAAAAATTAACAAGCTGATTGTGCAGAATCTCCGGAGGATGACAAACCTTGTCTGCCACCCTGGGCTCGTTTAGCTAATGAGGAAACAAACCTCTTTGCCTCTGCAGCACTCCCCAATCTCCATTTTAAGTGAGAAATCTGTTGTGGCCTGCAGCACGGAGTCAGAGCCTGGAGAGATGGCGGCGGGCTCTGCAGCCCTGCGGGACCATCGCTGCAGAGGGGGCTCTGGGTGCTGTGCCACAGGCTTTGTGCTGCTTTGGATTTCCTGGTACATGTGGCCAATGGTCCCGATTAGAGTTTAAATGAAGGAGAGAAAGAAAAGACGGGGTTTGAATTGGTGTTACAGAAATGGAGGGGTGGTTGCATTCACTAAGGAATGGAAAGGAGCCATGTGCTCTGAGCTGCCCGCAGGGCCCTCGGGCTGCACGCACAGCCATGCAGGAGCTCGGACAGCAGAGCTGTGCAGGAGCTGCTCTGGGCTGCAGGTTCCCAGGGCGCACTGCAGTGTGGTGCTGCTCGGCCCAGCAGAGCACACAGCACTGCGGGGTCAGGATCTGAACCCAGCCCTTCTTGCTGCTGCCCTTCTCCTCCTGCTTGTGTTCTTGGTGCTGCCATCACCTCTTGGGTTTGCTCTCTGAGGCATCTTGGTTTTTCAATCTGCAGTTTGATGCTTTCTACTTCTATGGTTGTTTATTCACTGTAAGTGTAACATCCCCAGCCCTAAGAAAGGGCTCCATTTGTATGTCAGGCCTTCCCTGCTGTGTTGGAGAATAGCTGTGATGAGCACAAGGCTGGGCTGGGGCAGTGGAGGTGAATGGTCGAACCCAGCCCTGGCTCTTGGAACAGCTCCTCCTGCCTTTGTTTTCTGGATACAGGGTGCCAGGCAGTGCTCATGCTCATAAGCTTTATGGCCAAGTCAGTGTTGGGACAATGGGCTTCTTTCCAGAAGGAGGAGGAGCCTCTCCTTGTTCCCCAGCAGTATTCTGTAGTGCTGAGGTGGTGAGGGGTCTGTAGGGGTGGAAGGAAAAGGTCTGACAGATGCACTCCAAATGCAGCCTGTTCATTGGTGCAGATCTATTGTTTTCTTTAAAGCTATGCCTGTTCAGCCGACGTTACTTCGAAATTGAATTTGTAAATGCATTTAATTTGGACCTTCATCAATGCTCTTTGGGCTGTACAGGCTGTGATTTATTCAAAGACGTCGGATTAAATCTGTAGGTTGCAGTAGCTATAAAATATTTACATGGACTTTCAGTTATACTGCGCATTGATTTCTATAGAGAAAAGGTACACGAGGCTCTAAATCTTTTGGTCTTCTCTTGTGCTGCTGATAGATGGGTCTCTGCTGACCCTTCCTGGTTATTGCACTCATTTAAAAATAGAGGCACTTGAGTTGCACGGAGTCCATAACACACAGGTGCTCGCTTTACGCCATGCCCAGCGCTCACAGTGGGCTCAGCACTGCAGGCTCAGGGTGCTCACGGCCTCCCGTGTGCCGGCCGTGTCCCCAGCTGCTCTGCACCCCCCCATGCTGGGCCGGGCAGTGGGTCCCGCAGGGTCACTGATGCCAGGCCTGTCCCTTCCTCTCTTGCAGTTTTTGAGGAGCCCGAGGACCCCAGTAACCGCTCCTTCTTTTCTGAGATCATCTCCTCCATCTCCGACGTCAAATTCAGCCACAGCGGCAGGTACATCATGACCCGGGACTACCTCACTGTCAAGGTGTGGGACTTGAACATGGAGAACCGGCCCATCGAGACCTACCAGGTGGGCAGAGCGGGGCTGCGGGCAGGGCGGGATGGGAGCATGGAGCGGCCGTGGGGCCTGGCATGGCTGCCCCCTGCCTCATCCCATCCATCCCTGCCTCCAGGTCCACGACTACCTGCGGAGCAAGCTGTGCTCGCTGTATGAGAACGACTGCATCTTCGACAAGTTCGAGTGCGTGTGGAACGGCTCTGACAGGTGAGGGGTGGCTGTGGGGCTGGGCGCAGCTGGGGTCTGTGTGCGGGGTGCCTGGGGCTGCGTGCCTGGCTCCAGGGGCAGTGGCTCCTTGCTTACCTCACAGTGAGGCAGCTGGGCCTGAATTCTGAGTCTGATCTAAATCATGTTACAGCTCTGTGTGTTCCATTTAAGTCAGGGAGAGTTTGCCTTGAAAAAGGTGTGAAAATCATTTGGTTTGGGTCAGCCAAATCTTTGCCATAAAGAGCGATATCCGTGTAATTATCCTGGAAGAAATTCTTGCCTGCATGAGCTCTCCCTCAGCTGCGAAGACAGAGGCTGGGAGCAGCCCTGCAGAGACAGGCGGAGGGAGCTGGGCTTGCACAGGCTGCAGGGAGCCCTCATTGCAGCCTTCCAGTGTTTAAAAGGGGATGATAAAAAGAAGGGTCAACAGCGACTGGAGAAGGGGTGACGGTTTTAAGCTTGAGGAGGGAAGGCTTAGGTTGGATGTCAGAGAGAAGTTCTGTACAGGTGGAGCAGTGAAGTGCTGGCACAGCTGCCCAGAGAGGCTGTGGATGCTCCATCCCTGGAGCTGTTCAGACCTGGAGGGCGGTGGCCCTGCCACAGCACAGGGGTTGGAACTTGATGATCCCGGGGTCCCCTCCAACCCAAACCTCTCCACAACTCCATGAGGTGTCCGCTGTGCGGTGCTGGGCTGAGCGGGGCAGGGAGGAGATGGAAGCGGGGCCGTGGCTGTGCTCGCTGACTCGCCCTTCCGCCCTCACAGCGTCATCATGACCGGCTCCTACAACAACTTCTTCCGCATGTTCGACCGCAACACCAAGCGCGACGTGACGCTGGAGGCCTCGCGGGAGAACAGCAAACCGCGCGCCGTCCTCAAACCCCGCAAGGTCTGCGTGGGAGGCAAGAGGAGGAAAGATGAGATCAGCGTGGACAGTCTGGACTTCAGCAAAAAGATCCTGCATACGGCTTGGCACCCTTCAGAGAACATCATTGCTGTGGCAGCGACAAATAACCTGTATATATTCCAGGACAAGGTTAACTAGGAGGACAAGTTATTCTTTAGGAGTCTCTCATGTACTGAATACTAGTAAACACAAGATTCCAAATGTTTCTTTTCTTTTCTTTTTTTTTTTTTTTTTTTTTCTTTCTTTCTTTCCCATTCCTCTGTTCAATTGCTGCTCTGGGAAAGGCAGTGTGCAGGGGCAGGCGGACCAACTGCCGTGGGGCCGGGGCTGAGCAGCTCCCAGGTTTCCATGTAGTGCTGGGAGCTCCGACTCGGCGCGGAGCAGCTGGGGGGGCTTCAGCTCCTGCTGTCCCAGCGCCCCGAGGCGTTGCTGTAAAGGTGGCTGACGGGTGGCGAGGCGGCAGGGCGCCATCAGCTGCAGTGGGAGCAGACGGGGCGGCTGTGTGCACCGCAGTGCGGGGTGCTGGGCTTCTGTAATCCATGCCGATTCTTTAAAGCTTAATCCTAAAGATCCCAGCTGTTGGTTCAGGATATCAGAGCCCTGTCCCCATTTTTCACATCTGTCATTTTGCCGTCATCATTTCCTCTTCTTACCAACAGCAAAACCGAACACAGAATGGAATTGTTGCGCCCGGAGCTCCCAGGCAACTCCCCAGGATTTGGCTTTGTCAATACTGTGGTGCCTTTTGGGTATATGAAATACCTTTATAAATGATGCTTCCAAAACACACTGATTGCAAACCAAACTGAACCTGGGCTTTAATTTTTTTTCCTTTTTTTTTCCTCTTTCTGCATTGTGGTCATTGTTATTGTCCTGTTGCTGTACACCTGCACTTCATACTCTTTCTCTTTTTAATTTATTTATTTATTCTTTTTGTTTTTTTTTTTTTTAAAGAAAAAGTGTAAGTTGCTAATTTATGACATTCTAAAAGAGAATCCAGCCCAACACTGCTCTCAGCACCTGACCGCTTCCTCCATGGGCTGCCCACGGTCCTAGATTATAATAATAATAATAAAATCAGTAACTCTTCCTCTGTGCATGGCCAGGCTCCCCCTTTCTACTGTTAAGATTGTTCAGATCCTTTTTTTACTCGAGCAAATGTTGAATTAAAAGAATAATTTTCAGTCTGGAAACAGCTCCTGCAAGACCCAGTGAACAAATGAAGTCAGTACAGCACTCAACAGCACCACCGCAGCAGTGTCCCCAGGAGGGCGGCCCTGCTGAGCAGCTGTGCTGCATCCCCCACACCTGTGTCCCACAGGGAAGCTCCCACCCTGCTCTAAGGGCAAAGTGCTCCCTGCCCACCGCCCCTCCTGTACTGCGCGCTTCGGACGCCCTGCAGCTCCTGCGGTGCCTCCGGCCCTCAGCCCCTAAAGAGGAGCCTGGGGAGGCCCTGCCTGGATCTGCGGGGCAGGAGCAGGGGGCATTCGCCATCCCAAAGGGATGAGTAGGGGGGACGTGCACTACAAGTGGTGGCTTCCAGGAGTACCTTTTTTTTAAATGGTTAAAAAAAAAAGCCAAGATAAAGTAACTTTTTTTTTTTCAAATGTTCTTTTTTTTTTGTTCTTGTACAGAAAGCCTGCACTCTGGTACCAGAAGTAAAGTTGTTCCAAATGTGCCTGTGTGGAGCTGCTGATTGTTGTGCTTTCCAGGCGGCTGCAGCTGGGGCCATGCTGGGGGGTGCAGGGAGCCCTGAGAGCCAGGGGGCACAGGAGCCGGGAAGCCCCTAGCCCAGGTGCTGCAGTGCAGGGCCCCATCCCTGTGTCTGGGGGGCAGTGGCAGCTCCCAGCCCGGTTTGCAGTGCTGAGTCCTTCAGCATTCATTCTGGCCCCAGGCTGCCCAGCGGGGAGCTGCTGAGGGCAGCAACGCGTTCAGAACCGAGGCAGGGGTGAAGGAGGCACCAGCACAGGAACAGGCGCTGGCTTCTCCTTCAGCTGCAATCTCTGCTGGTAGTGGAATTGGTTTCACAATGAAACCAAACCCAACGCTGCACAGAGCTGCACGGCCTGCGCCCCCACGGGGACAGGACTCATTACTGGTAACACGCGACACTGAGCTGCTTCCTCCACAGCCCAAGCGCTAATTCTCAGCTGCTGCTGGTGATGAATTTAAACAGAGGCACCTAATTAGAAGCTGTAGGGCATGGATAATGCTGCAAAGGCAATGTTATACAAACAGGCGCTCATTTACCTTCATATTAATGGCATGACCTTAATCTACCACTCCTTGGCCCAGAGAGACAGACCCACACCACATGTGCAGGCAAAGGAAGAAACGCCACAGCCTGAAGAACTGAACTGGAAAATAATTCTGTTTGGCACCGAACTGCACAGATGCTGATCTGAATGTTTATGAAATTTAATTTGATGCTGTACAGTATCACACAGTTTGGCAAAACACAGCCAACATTTTAGGCAATAGGACTTCAGTTCTTTGCTCTGCTCTTGAATTCACAACTCCAACAAAACCCAACAAAAACTGGCATTAGGCCTGTACAATCCATATAAAAAAGGAGTTGGTTTATTGTAGTTCAAATACATAAACTGAACAATCCCAACATTTCAAAATTAAACTTTAGAAACACAAGTTTAACATTCAAAACAGGAGTATAGTTTACAAGAATTGCCCAGAGGGGGAATCCACAGTCTAATCCAGAAGTATGCAAAGATCACTTATCGTAAATAAAAACATTTATACAACCGTCCTGCTCTGCTGGGTAGCCACTGCTACCAGCCACGTGTTTCCAACTGGAGTAAAAATCATTGGACAGATCTTTGCCTGGGCAGAGCAACCTGATTTTGTTTCTAATCCATGGATAGGGTAAGGAACAAAGCAGACCTGTGAGCAAATTTGATTTGGTCTCTGTAGTGCTAATTCTCCTTTCAGTTTTAACTCGGGGCTCCAACGGATTTATCACCACATACAAGGGTGAAATCAAGCACAGAATCAGCACCTGTTACCATAACGTGGCCCTCAGCCATCAGCTACAGCAGCATCTCGCCCTCACAGCCAGGCAGCCCCAGGGCCACGCTCACACCTGAGCCCCACGCGCAGCTCTGGGAGCTGCACAGCACCGCTCCTCCTGCGCGGGGACACGGCCCCGACACTGCCTGCACAGCTGGGCCCGCCGTCCCGCCCTACAGACACTCATAAATAACTGCCACGTTCTTTTTTCTTCCTCTTTTTATATACATCTTCTATTTTCATACAGAGACCACTTTATGCTCACAAACACTGCTTTCTCCTCTGTTCCTAAGATGGTTTTGCAATATATTCACGGTAATGTATATGTATAAACCCGACAGATGGCTCATGCAAGCTTTTTGATTTAGCAGATACTCTTGCCTTAAGTGAACTCAGCTCTACTTCGTCGTCCGTCTCGTTGGCTCCGAGGCTGTGGGCGGCGGGGGCGGACCTCGGCGGTCCAGGTCATCCACGTAGGACACGATGAGTTTGCGCCTCTCCTCCGGCACGCAGTCAAGCACCAGGTAGCGCTTGTCGTTCTGCAGTATCTTCTCCACATCCTTCAGATGCTGGTCTGACTCCTGGATCAGCTTTTTGGATCTGGAAGCAGGCGCAAGGAATTACTGCCTGGCGGGGCCCGGGTGCCACCCCTCACAGCGGTGCAGGCAGCCGGGGGGGAGCAACGCCAGCAACCTGCACGGAGCTTTGGGCCACGCGCACTTTCTGCTCAGTCAGCAGCAGCAGGATGCTGAAGTATCTGGCAGTATCAAGGCACAGGAGCTAGAGTGTTTGTAGCCTCTGTGCTAAATTAATTAAGCATCATGGAAGACCTGTGTCTGGCTGCCGTGGCCTTGTACAGCACTACATCAACTGTTTAAATGCCAAAACCTAGGGGGACAAAAATCTAGAGTTTTAAATTAGGCATCCAACTGAGGCAGACAATTAGGATTTCACAGCTTTGGTACTAAACTGTGTGCACTGCCTCAGTTGACAGCACTGTGATTTGCTCATTGAGTAGCATCACCTGAAACCAAAACTCCAAAACACTCCAGTGATGACTGGAGGGGCAAGGACTGACACGAGCACAGGAGATGGCCCTCACCACAAAATGAATCCATTGCCTGGCAGCCAGGGTACACACAGTGCTATTCTGAAGCAAACGACAACCTGACCTCTGTGCTGGTTTGATTTTCATTATTTGTTAACCATTAGGAAGTGCCAAGTTAAACCAAAACAAATCCTCTGTCAACTACACACACACACACACACACACACACACACATATATATATATTTCTTTTTTGACAGATTATGAAAAAAATTATAGAATAAATGTAGGCAAGATTATTCTAGGGAACAAAAGAGCAGCTTCTTGCCACTGACATGCAAACGCACAAAAAGAGCTCCTGGGTGACATTCTGCTACACACCTGTATGTGATAAATTTGGTCTCCTTCAATAGTGTTCGGAAGTCAGCTTTGGCAGTAATGTATTTGTCTCTAATGTACTCCTCAAACTCCCTTTGTTTCTTCTGAAAGACAAAAGATGAACCCAGAACATCGAATGCAGACAAAGTACTTCACGCAACTCAACACACTGAATATAAGTACAAGTCACAGGATGAATGTATTTCTGTTTACTTCTTGCATTTTTTAATTAAAAACTAATAACGTTCACATCAAGCAGGCACCATGTCAGCAGTCCCTGATTTTCCCTCTCCATATCCTGCACCACAGTGAAGGCCAACAGCAGCAATGCAAAGCTCTTACCCGGTCACTTGAAGAAAATTTAATGCACCTCGGATCTTCTTTAATGATTTTTTTTACTTCTTTCCACGTCGATGTTAAAGTTATCTTTCAAAAGAAGCAAAAATAGTTAAGACTGCAAGAAAAATGATATCCTACAGATGTGGAATATAAGTATTACCACATCTGAAAGTAAATATCCCCAGAGCACACCAACAAAATCACTGCTGTATCCAAGTCTTGGGCTTTTCTCGTTCCTATTACTATACTCGTATTTTTTGTTATATGATCTCATACATTTACTTTTCTTCAGACACTTTCGAATCAACATCCTCCCAAACACCATTTACATTCTAAGATCCTTTTCTAGAACATATCTATGGATATATGCTGTGAAAAATTACCTACAGGAAGCTTGCTTCAAAATAACATCTGCCATATGATTCTATCACACTAAGATCTGCCTGCTGTTCCAACAGCTTTTAACCAATGCCTTAAAAACACTCAAAGCTGCAGGGTCAAGAAAGCTGACCGAAGCTTGCACACAATTTTAAAAGACCAAGACTGTCTAGAACCTCACAGCACACTGAGAAGATGACAGGCTTCCTCAGCGTGGCACAGAAGTTCAAATTAAAGAGCATGACTTAAAACAGACAGACAAAAGATCATCTACTGGTATCGAGACAAACACACTGGTTATTTGAAAGAGCAAGATGCCATATAGAAAGGAATATCAAGCAACTCAATACTGAAGAAACGTAACATCCTGCAGGAGATAAAAAAAAATCACTGATTAGAAGCTTAAATGCAAATGAACTGTATGTTAAAGTGAAACAGAACTCAAGAGAAGCAAGGAAACGTAACGCTTACATTTTTCTTATGGAGAAAAGAGACTGGTGAAGCAAACAGCCCCAGAAAATAAAGCCAAACAAAAATCAACTCCTGGCAGAAAACTGAAAAATCCAACTCCCCATGGACTTGCAAATATCTCAGTTTGAGCACATATCGCTCTTACCGCTGAAGTCTCATCCAGAAGTTGCCTAAAGTGTTCCCTCTTCTTTTTGGTAAGTGCTTCGATGTGCTCATTGAAGAGCTTCTCTTTCTCTTCTCTTTCCAGCAAGGAGCCAGACTCCCAGCGGTGATCTTTGCGCAGGGTCCTTCTGGTGTCAGACCACGACACATCTGAGGAACGCACCTGGCCACAAGGAGGATTATTGCTGTCAACGTGTTGTCCTGTGGTTCACTGACAATTGTCACCCAGCCCTTAGTGTTCTTCTATCCCTTCTTTTAAACTATAGATCAAATTAAGAATTAAAGCTCTTCAAAAAAATTCAGAGACAACAGCAGCTTTCTGTTAAACACTAACCAAGCAGCAGCTGGGGGAAGCACTATGCATTAGTTCAAATCATAGAATCATAGAATCACCAAGGTTGGAAAAGACCTAAAAGATCACCCAGTCCAACCGTTCACCCATTCCCAACAGCTCCCACTAAACCATGTCCCTCAACACAACATCCAGCCTTTCCTTGAACACCCCCAGGGTCGGTGACTCCACCACCCCCCTGGGCAGTCCGTTCCGTATTGGCTTCAGCCCAGCTCAATGCAGGAGGAGAAATCACTGTCCTGGAAGAGTACTCTCTTGTAAAGAAAGTGAAGACAATTCTACTTCTATATAAGCCAAAGTGCTTTTCATACACAGCATGACTGGAAAAGAATGCACTGCCAAGCTCCTGGAGTGAATCA